ACACATGGGAAAGAACGACTGGAGAAATCTGACCAAGGGAGCTTTGATTTTTAGAAGCTTATGCCCCCAAAAATCTCGTTGGTCTCTCAGTCGCTACTGGAGTCAAATCGAGCTGTTCTACTGCGGACGGAGATGGCTACCCTCGGACACTGTCGTGGATTCTATCTTTCCTGTGAGCAGAGGAGATCACCAGAGACTTTCTTCTGAGGCTGCGGTCACACGGAGAATTAGCCACGCTAGAGAGACGGAAGATAGGCGGATTTTCCAGGCGCGATCTCACCGCCACATCTGGGAAGCGTAGAGCTCCCGTGGCTCACCCGAGGCTTCCCGCTGAAGATGCGGGGTAAAAAACTAGTACCTCCGAGGTACTACTTTCTGGTAACCGCAGGGCAAGGGCGGGCGTCTGATCACGTTTCCGGTGGCATCAGGGGCCCGCCCATGTCCCCTTGCAAAACGTTTTTTTCCCCCCAAGTCTCCATGGATGCGCACAAGCACCCAACAGAGCATGCGCATACTTTGGTGTACAGAAAAAAACAAACCCGTTTGCCGCACCACGCCGCTTCTTTGTTGCGCCGCAGGATTGTCCTGTGATCGGCACCTCCCCCCTACCCATGGGACCTCCACGGAACCTCCACGGGACGTCTGATCACGCAACCGCACGTTATTTTGCCCCAGGGCAAACAGCCACGCCTCCCCACCACGATATCCGGCCCGTGTGACCGGGGCCTAAGTTTTGCATCCTGCTCACCACGCAGCTCCATGTGTAATGCTTCCTCTAAGCTGTGGAGTCTTGTGAGCAAAAATTCTGCTTTGTGAGCTACTGACATTAAAGTTGTGAGCGAGCGATTTGGCTGCTGCATAAATCAGTTTGCTCTGGAGCCCTCCTTCCTGGGCTCAGGCAAACTGTTTGAGCTGGAGGCTAAAAAACTGCGAGCTAGCTCACACTAACTCAGCTCAGAGGGAACACAATGGGCATGAACCACAATGGCCATGAACCACATCACCAAACTATGAATCGATATGCTGGTTCACAAACAGAACCGGTTCGTTTTGGTCCATGAGCCATTTATGCCCCTGCTTTCTGCTCCCTGCGAAAAGCGGCGGTGAGCAGAGGGCAAGGGGTTAAATGGCCCCGAACCATTTCTCCATACTGTGGAGTCTGGCCCTCACCAGCCCATTCCTCTCCAGAGGCTACTGCCACCAGCAACACAAGGGTTCCAGTGCTGTAGGGCCTGGAGAAGACTGGGCTTGCGCGTTTCTTTTCTGGCTGTTCAATGTCAGAAGTTTACTTTAAACACTCAGTGAAACGGTCCAATACCTTTGGGTTAAGTTTGGCAAGGTCAAACCTTTTCTCCGAGAGATTTAACACCTGCAGTGGGGAGAAAAAAAGAGAGGGAACACAGAATTTTAAGCACTGCATTTAACACAAGTCACAACCAGGTTACAGAAATGTCTACCGCCTTCCTGCCCAACTAGGGACATGAAGGTGGCAATTAAACAGTTAAAAAGACATCTAAAGGACAAGATGGAGCGTCAGTAAGGGAACGCCAGGCAAAACAGAAAAGACTTTTCCCACTGGCCGAAGACCATGATGGCGAGGGATTGGCAAAACTGCCTGGAGAGGAATTCCATGGTTTTGGCGCCATTAACACTTTCTCAGGTTGCCACCTGCCCAGCCTGAGACGATGGGGGCACCCAAAACAGGAATTCTGAACATGATCCTAACCATTACGTAGGTTCATATGGGAATAGACATTCTTTAAAGTATGCAAAGTCCCAAGCCATATAGGGCATTAAAGTTCACTACCAGCACCTTGAGTTGGGTGCGAAAGCAGGTTGGAAGCCAAGGAACAGAATAAGACTCGAACTATATTATCCCTAGCACTCACTCCAAACAGCATTCCTGTCGTAACACTCTGTACCCACTGCAGTTTCTAGACATTTCTCAAGGGCAGCCCCAAGTAGAGCACACTGCTGTAGTCTAATCGAGAGGTTATCTGGACATTTGGTCATTTTAGATATTTTTCTTTAAGAACGCTTTTTAGCATTTGCTTTTCAAACTGGGGGTGGGGGGGCTTTTAAAGGAAACAAAACTCATGTTAATATGGAAGGGGTGGTGGTCTTGAATCGGCTCAAAGGAAAATCCGCCTCATGAGAAAAACGAGTTTGCAAGCCTCTGGATGTTCGGGTACCAAGAAACCTAATGACATTTTTAGTTCCTGTGCAGACTTTTCTACCTTTCTACCTTTTCTACCTTGAGATACACTGGAATTTGGCTTGAATAGAACGTGTGTATTTTTGAAAACAGAATTGCTAGAGGGAGAGGCCAAGGGCTTTCAGTATATAGACAATAAACAAAGAATGATAAGACTGACGTTTGCGCCATTCCAAAATTATTTGTCCTACGATTTTAGCAAAGCTCAAAGGAACTATTCTGTGCTGAATGTTAGGCTTGTCTCTGTAAAAGAAATGTGGGTCTACTGATTTCACTAGACGAGGCAAAAGTAGGATGATACCGTAAACCTTTGCATTCGAAATTAATGGGTTTTACTTATCTGAATTTGCCTGGGTTCTCTCTTCCTTGCTCTTTCTATCTGCTTCAACCTATGACTCATTCTTTTTTTTTAAAGTTCAAAAGGCTAGAGGCTCCTTTTCCCTCTGTTATGTAAGTTATCACAAGGTTTTATAAAATTCTGTGAGAATATTGCCCCCGTTTTGTTTTTCCCCTCTACTTTATCTAATGCATGCAAGAGATGGTATTACAATAATTGAAGACGAAGAAGAGATTGGATTTATATCCCGCCCTTCACTACCCAAAGGTGTCTCAGAGCGGCTTACAAACTCCTTTCCTTTCCCCTCCCCACAACAGACACCCTGTGAGGTAGGTGGGGCTGAGAGAGCTCTGACAGAAACTGCTCTTTTTTCAAGAACAGCTCTTATCAGAGCTACGGCTTGCCCAAGGTCATTCATCCAGGTGCAAGTGGAGGAGCGGGGAATCAAACCCAGTTCTCCCAGATTAGAGTCCGCGCACTTAACCACTACACCGAGCTGGCTCTCAAGCGCCCCCAATGTGCGGATTTAGATATCCGCACAGAGGGGGCGTCTTGGGTATTAGTATATAGATTTACAACTTCTAATCTTTATGGGTCTCTAGGTCAGTTCCCATTTTGGACATCAATATTGCCTTCAGAAGAATTCTTTGTCAGGTCCCCTGCCTGTCAATTTTGAGGAGCCGTCCACTAGAAAAAAGGTTTTAGAATGGAAGGTGTAGCTCCGCACTTTCTAGAGGTCAACGATCTTCACAACATCAAAATGGGCAACGGGTGGAAAGGTTTTAAAGTTGCAACTGATTTATGACACTGACAACATATGGGTTTTTTTTGTTGAATCTTTTTATATTTATGCTCATTAATGATATTAATACAGTCTACAATACAGTCCACTCATAGCATGCATTATATAATTTCTGGTTATACTACAGTGTGAGCCTTTGTCATTTACGTACTCAATAGGGAGCAACAACTGATCACAGGCCCTTCCTAATATGAAATGCGTGCTGACAGACAATCTATAGACCATTCATACTTTACAGCCGGTGACACAACTTCAAAACATCCCAGGTGCATACGTGAAAATGTAATCTGTCAAGAGAGCCCGTTAATTAGATCACGGTCACTGGAATGAAGAACTAGTGTTAAGATGAGGGCAATCAGGGCTTTTTTGTAGAAAAAGCCCAGAAGGAACTCATTAGCATAATAGGCCACACCCAACAGCAGAAACTCATTAGCATATTAGGCCACACCCCTGACCGAGCAGCTCGTTAGCATATTAGGCCACACCCCCACGTTACCAGAAGTGTGGTCATCCAGCCACACCCAGCTTTTGCTTCTTATTCTGTTTACCCTGTTTGTTGTCAAAACCCAGGGATCTTCTTGTAGCAGGAACCCTTTGCATGTTAGGCCACACACCCCTAATGTAGCCAGTGCTAATGAGTTTCTGCTTTTGGGTGTGGCCTATTATGCTAATGAGTTCCTGCTGGGCGTGGCCAACTCGGGAGCCAGCCGGAACTCCGTTCCTGTGCATTCCTGCCCAAAAATAGCCCTGAGGGCAATTATCAAAAATAGTGTGCGTCCAGCCAACTATTTAACATCTCTTGGAAGTAAAAGGGTTTAGAAGAGCCTTCACTCTGGAGAGGTGCGCTGCCCTCCCTTCTGCTGTACTTGAAGGAAAATACAAGAATACTCCTTTCTCAGAAAGGCTTTGTACCTGCCCATTAAGGGAGGTTGAGACTACAGAGTACATGTTTTTTAAGATGCCCGTATTATAAGGTGGCGCATAATAAAATCACTCCGCTGACTGAACAAATTCCAGGTATTTCCGAAAAAGCTAGACTCTAGTTTCTTCTCTGATAGAAACCCCAAAATGACCCACCAAGTAGCCAGTTTCTGATCTGATCTTCTTGCAAATCAGTCAGTCCAAAGAAATCAACCCTGACTGTTCCCTGGAAGGCCAGATAATGAAACTGAAGCTCAAATACTTTGGCCACCAAATGAGAAGGGAGCACTCAGTGGAGAAGACCCTGATGCTGGGAAAGACTGAAGGTCAAAGAAGACGGGGACAATGCAACGAACATGAAATTGAGCCAACTTCAGAGGACGGCGGAAGACAGGAAGGCCTGGCATGATCTGGTCCATGGGGTCGCGAAGAGTCGGACTCAACTGTGCGACTGAACAACAACAAGCCAGTTTCTGTCTGGTGATACTCAGATCATGGAAACTCTAAGGTAGCTAGTTCGATACAGTTGTTTGATATTAGATTAAATTTTAATTTGCTTTTAATGTGTCACTGATGTATCTTAAAATTTTGGAATATTGTAAAGGTGCACTTCTTTTTCTATGACTGGTCTAAGGACTGTAGAAATAAACTGAAATTGAACTAAGTGGACAGATGTGGACGACATCCCAAGGAAACCACATCTTCTCTTACCAGGTAGTTGTCCCCATGTTTGGATTTGAGCATCCGCGTGACATCCTGGAGGTTGTGCAGGTAGGTCTCCTCTGAGCAGCTGGCTGGGAAGGAGAGAGCAATGATCCGCTCTGTGATGTAAGTCAAGTCCAGTTCATAACCTTCCTCCATCATGTGATCAAAGTCGGCAGTTCTGTGGCGGAGGAAGGGAGTTGGGGGGGGGGGGAATAAAAAAATTAACAAGCAGAAATTGCTGCCTCAGCCTAATGACAAAGAAATCAGCCATTGTTTACAGTTCCAACTAAGGTAAAGAGAAGAGAAGGTAAAAGGTAAAGGTTCCCTTGCTCGAAAGCCAGGCAAATCTGACTCTAGGGTTGCGGTGCTCATCTCCGTTTCCAAGCCGAAGAGCCAGCACTGTCCGAAGACGTTTCCGTGGTCATGTGGCTGGCATGACTAAACACCAAGGCGCACGGAACTCTGTTACCTTCCCACCGAAGTGGTACCTATTTATCGACTTGCGATTTCTTACTTTCAAACTGCTAGGTTGGCAGGAGCTGGAACTAGAGACGGGAGCTCACTCTGTCATGCGGCACACTCGGGTCTCGAACTGCTGAACTACCGACCTTCCACAGCCTGCAGTTTAGCGGCTCAACCACTCGAGCTTCCATTCAAATCCCCGTTCATAAACGGCAGAATGAGTATTCAGTTTGCTAAGCAGCCGTGACAGCCTTCCAGGAGAGAGTTCATCCACTTTGATTCGTATCAAAACCAACAAGGTGCCGCTGGCTGCAATGAGCAATGGTGGCGGTGCCAGCACACAGCCCCAACGCCCCAGAAATAGAAGCCAGGCCGCACAAAGGCCGCCAATGAGCTTCCCAGGCAGGTTGTGGGCCACGGTCCTAACCAGGTTCCTCTGCTGCCACTATCCAGCAATAAAAACCAGACCAGAGATTGGGGCTCGTCAGCGCCTCCTCTGGCTCGAGCATGAAAGTGCACCGAAAACGCATCCCCTTCCCTGCAGTTCCAGAAGCTTCGCCGTGAGCCACAGTGTTCGTGTAGTTTCCGTGCACTGCCTTCTGACTTTGATGCAAAAAAAAAAAAGCCTCATTGGTTTTTAGACAGTACAAGGAAGGTTTGGTTAAAATTCACAAGAACAAGAAACCCGGTGTTAAAAAAAAAGGAGAGAGAAATGTGCAATTTTTTTTTTTAAAGTAACGTAAACGCTGAAAGTCTGATATAAAGACTTAGATCATTACTTCTCTGTTAATCTGAGGCTGAGGAGAAGGCATTAAGCGTGGATTTTTAGAACTGTCAAGATGCATTTGGTAACAGCGAGAGCAGTACCATTTCCAGTCCCAGACAGGAGACTGAGTATATGGTAATTGTCTGAACCATTGGGAAATATTGCAAGAAAGGGGGTAATCAAAGAGGCTTCTAAACTGCCATAGAGGTTGCATGAAAAGAAGACGATGTACAGGGTTGTAGCTGCCTGAGACCCACAAGGGCACATCCGTGGTCCATGAGGAATATAAATACCCAGGGCTTTTTTGGTAGAAAAAGCCCAGCAGGAACTCATTAGCATAATAGGCCACACCCAATAGCTGAAACTCATTAGCATATCCGGCCACACCCATGAGATCATAGCTCATTAGCACATTAGGCCGCACCCACATGTTACCAGAAGTGTGCTCATCCAGCCACACCCACCTTTTGCTTCTTATTCTCTTTACCTTGTTTGTTGTCCAAACCCAGGGCTTTTTTGTAGCAGGGACTCCTTTGCATGTTAGGCCACACACCCCTAATGTAGCCAATCCTAATGAGTTCCTGCTGTTGGGTGTGGCCTATTATGCTAACTAGTTCCTGCTGGGCGTGGCCAACTCGGGAGCCAGACGGAACTCCGTTCCTGTGCGTTCCTGCCCAAAAATAGCCCTGTAAATAACCATCTAAAGAGCCAATGTGGTGTAGTGGTTAGACTAGGATCGAGATACCTAGTATGAACCCCCACTCTGCAACAGCAGCTCGCTGGGTGACTTCTGGCCAATCACTCTCTCCTAGGCTAGCCTACCTCACTGGATTGTTGTGGGGATAAAATGGAGGACAGGAAGGAGAAGGATGTTAAGGGGCACAGGGTTTCCATTGAGGAGAGAATGACAGGAGAATGACAGCTTTGAGAATGACAGGAGTACTCCTTCCATGAATGTTAGCTGCATAATTCTTTTGTAGGACCGGCAAAAAGCATCCATACAACTATTAAGAAGGCTGCACCCCTTTTTGGAAGACTTCATGCAAGGAGAAGCAGGTTTATCATTCTAGAAATTCCCGTTGGGGCTTGACTTTTAAAACACTGGTGCAAAATTGTTTGGTAGTTATCAATCTGTATGTACTGAATGTTATTGCTTATTGAATGTAATGAATATTTATACCTGACTAGGATGAAATAACGACACACTATGCACTTTACTAAAGGATGACCATAAATAGAACACATTAGTTTGTTAAAAGATTTTTGCAGTGTATATGTATTTGTTACTAGACAGGATATTTCTAGTCAAAGCACTCCCAGCTGTTTTTTAACCAGATTATATGCCCTGCTCAGCCCGACCTCAATCAAACCAGGGACTGAGAAGCCGAGCGGTACAAGCTTGGAATCCATGAACTGGCTCCAACGACGTAATTTATATTCCTTGTGTCAATGCGTAATTATTTTTAAATCACCTCTGTGAGCGAACCCATTTTCTGGTATTTTAAATTGTTTTAACAGCATGGCGCCCTGAGTTGCTCAGGCAAAAAGCAGGCAGACAAATGCTTTAAAGTTTAGGAGGGCAGCCGAAGAGCAAGATTTGAATCCAGAACAAGATTTCCAGGGTATAAGCTTGCAAGACTCTCTGACACAGGGAGCTCTGACTCTCAAAAGGTTATACCCCGTGTTCCCTCTAAGCTGAGTTAGTGTGAGCTAGCTCACTTTTTTTTAGCCTCCGGCTCACACATTTTTGTCTTAGCTCAGGAAGGACGGCTCCAGAGAGCAAACTAATTTATGCAGCACCCAAATGGCCTCACTCACAACTTTAATGCCAGGAGCTCACAAAGTAGAATTTTTGCTCACGAGACTCCACAGCTTAGAGGGAGCATTGGTTATAGCCTGGAAATATTGTGACTATTTAAAACAGATTCATAAACAAAGCTGCCTTTACTTTTCTTGTCATTGAGGAAGGTTCCCAGAAACATTAATAAAAATACTTCAAAAAAAAAAAAAAAAAAAAAGACTGCACAAGATCTGCTTTCTCCGTATCTGGGGACTGGATTCCCGTCCCCATCAGATCAGAAATAAGCACCAGGGAAAAAACCCCACTCATTTGGCCCCGCCCCAATGCCCCATACTTTTCAAATGCAGCTATTTACTTCATTCGAGCCCTGCTTTTCCTCCGATAGGGATCCAAAGCCCCTCACATCATTCCCCTGGCCTCCATTTCATCCTCACAACAACCCTGCGAGGCAAGTTAGCCTGAGAGAGCCCAACTGGCCCGAGGTCACCCAGCCAACAGTCAGGGCCGAGTGGGTATTCAAACTTGGGTCCGCCAGATCCATAGCTGATACTCTAACCACTATACCGCACTATCTCCATGAGCTACGAGGCAGCTGTAATTCATGGTGAGCAATTTTTACGCGAGGTCTCGCTAGACAAATGGAGAACTTTTGCTAAACCCTGAGACATCCCAGTTGCCCCGTGGGCGTGCCATAAGCGTTAAAATGTCTGGTAAGTTGCGGATTTCGTGATCGAAATACAACCCACCGTTTTCCATCAAAGATGGGCAATGCACTAAATTATGATAACTTGGAGAGAGACACACACACCCCGACCGCCCCATCAGACAAATTACGGAACAACCTCCTCAGGGAGGTACGCCTGCCCCCCCCCCAACTTTTGATCTTCAGAAGGCAGTTGAAGCCCGTTTTATTTAGGACTAGGGTTGCCAAGTTCTACCGGAATAATAGCGGGGGAGTCCTGTTGCCCATATGATCCCATAGAGTTTTTAGGCTTGTTGCTAGAGCATCGCCCGGCCACAGGCCCAGCATGATGACGTCACTTTGGGGATGGGGTTCCCCCCGCTGGCCGTATCCGGACTGGCGGGTTGGGGGCCCTTTCGGTGGGAAACACGCCCCCCCCCCCTCCAGGGGGACCTGGCAGCCCTATTTAGGACTGCTTTGGGATAAGTTTAGTAGCAGCCCTGTGTTGTGATTTTAAATCTTGACTTTTCTGTTTTTAATGCGCTTTATGCGTTTTCTCCTTGCGCTCCATAAGGAAGAAAGGAGACCTTGCAGACTGAGGGCCTTTGTGGCTTCCTTGATCGAGTCCGTCCATCTCCTGTTGGGCCTTCCTCTTTTCCGGCTGCCTTCCACTTTTCCTAGCATGATTGTCTTTTCCAGTGAGTCTTGTCTTCTCATATGTAGCTGCGGTGGCTCAAGTGGTTAAGACGCTGAACTGCAGGCTGTGGAAGGTCACTAGTTCAGCAGTTGGAGACCCGAGTGTGCCGCATGACGGAGTGAGCTCCCGTCTCTAGTTCCAGCTCCTGCCAACCTAGCAGTTCGAAAGCAAGACATTGCAAGTAGATAAATAGGTACCGCTTCGATGGGAAGGGAACAGCGTTCCGTGTGCCTTGGTGTTTAGTCATGCCGGCCACATGACCACGGAAACGTCTCCGGACAGCGCTGTCTCTTCGGTTTTGAAACAGAGATGAGCACCGCAACCCTAGAGTCGGACTCAACTGGCTTTCGAGCAAGGGAACCTTTACCTATGCGTTTTCTCTGTATCGTAAGCCACCTTGTGTCTTTTCCAGTGAGTCTTGTCTTCTCATCACGTGACCAAAGTACAATAGCCTCATTTTAGCCATATCAGCTTCTAGCGAGAGTTCAGGCTTTGATGGGAAACGGTGGCTTGACTGAACCCACTTATTTATCTTTTTGGCGCCCCACGGTATTCTCCCCGAGCACCATATTTCAACGGAATGCAAATTAAAATAAATACTATAGAAATGGCAAAGACTTAAGCTTGAAAACCAGCATTCTGTATGGTAGCTTGCACTGGTTCCTTTCCCCCCACCCCACCCACAAAGAGTAAGGTAAGTCAGGGGCCGGATTAGTTGCTACGGCATCTCCTTGGAATTAAAGGTCAGCATTTTAGCTGGGAAACACAGGATTAATGCACTGTGACTTTCAAAGACAATCACTAGCGTTCTTCCGAAGTGATCTTCAAAGGTATGATGGAGCCTCTCTCGGAAAGCCTGGGCGATTAGAACGGGGCAACTTTTCAGAAATGACTTACTCCGAGAGTTTGTCGCAGCAGAAAGATGAGCTTTTCAAAAAACTGCCGGAAGTCTGAAAACAAGATTTTAAAAAGGGTGATTAGTTTCCCTGACATTTAAAAAGAAAACCAACATGGCATTCATGCACATTTCAAGGCAATTTCAAAATACCCCAAGATAGCATTTGGAAATAAACAGAGGCTTAATACACAGAGCTGAACGAAAGAACACCTTTATTTATAAAGGTTACCGTGTTGACATCTTTCTTTTGAAGTCGAACAACTGAACTAAGAGCCTTTGTTGGGGTTTTTTGTTTTTTTTGCTTACTCTTGTAATCAAATGTTAGACTATAGAAATGACTGACTGCAGAGACGTGGCTCAGGATGAGGGTCTCTTCAAATCAGACCAAATATAGTTAGAAATTAGCATGCAATGGTATGGAGACCTTCATGACTGACTACTGCGCATGAATATGCGCTATGCACTATGCGCTATGCACATATGCGCTATGAAATACAAGCAAATTTCTTATGCTTTGAATGCATTAAACATTGATTGCAGTCATGGAAGCAAACTTTGCTTGCTTTGGAGGGCTACACCCAGGACTATCTGTCTGATTCTCCGCTCCATTTCCAGCTCCCAACCTTAGTAAGCCTGAGCACTCTTTTTTTTTTTTTTGGTATTTTTCGTGTGTGTGTGTGTGTGTGTGTGTGTACGCACCCGGACGTCATGGCAACCTCTGGTGACTGGCCCCTAAGCTGTGGAGTTTTGTGAGCAAAAATTCTACTTTGTGAGCTCCTGGCATTAAAGCTGTGCGTGAGCGATTTGGCTGCTGCGTAAATCAGTTTGCTCTGGAGCCACCCCTTCCTGAGCGACACAAATGTGTGAGCCGGAGGCTAAAAAACTGTGAGCTAGCTCACACTAACTCAGCTTAGAGGGAACACTGCTCCTGACTTACAGTTATTCTGTTCCGCAGGGCTCAACGGGAACCGTTTAAGAACTAGCTCTTGCTAGATGAAGTAGTTGTGAAATTGTAATAATAAGATATGCATGCAGAATGCAAAACTGGAACTTGAATATTTTTATATTTTTCTTTTTTTCCCTTCCCTTTCCCCTTCCCTACTTTCTTTAAATAAACTAATAACATTCTCTTGATGAAGAAGAAGAACAACAACAACAACAAGTAGTAGTAGTAGCAGCAGCAGCAGCAGCCAGGTCTTGCTCTGACCTAGATAGCCCAGGCAAGCCGGATCTCATCAGATCTCGGAAGCTAAGCAGGGTCGACTCTGGCAAATACTTGGATGGGAGACCTCCTTGGAATACCAGCAGTCGGGAGGCGGGGGCAGGCTTTGTTCAGGCAACTCTCTGAATATCCTCCAGACCCCCAGTAGGGGTCAGTCACCAGAGGTCACCAGGACTTCCAGATGTGCACACACGTATATGAAAAATACAAAAAAAAAACCTAAAAAAACCTAGCTCTTGACCGTATCTGCATGACTCCACCCATCACTTGCAAAGGTCTCCTCCCTTGGTCATGCCCTCCAGGGACAGTGGAGTATTTGACCTGTCAGGAAACTTATGAGTATACACATATGTTTCCCCAACAGGCTAAACAGTGCTCCCTGAGGACACTTCAGATAAGGTGAATGGCTACAAATATATCCTTCCATCTTAGATGCTCTCCATGCCTCTGAACATCTTTGCCATCTGCCGTTCATGTGCTTGATGCTCTCGCAATCTTCCCCCCCCCCCCCCGGTATGGACATAGGATGGGAGTTTTCTGTATGTTTTTAAATTTCGCAGATAAATATTTTGGCTCTCACAGCTCTTTCAACCCTGGGAAGAAACGCTGGCTAAACAATGAGCTCACCCGGCATCCAGTGAACTAAACAGGCAATGCCCTCTTTCTTTCCTCTTCCCTCTACCCTCTTGACCCAAATTGCACATATTTAGCTACACAGAAACAAATATTTCCTCCCCGGCTACTCCAGCTGAACGAACAGTTACAAAGGCCTCCTCTGCGCCTCTCTCTCTCTCTCACACACACACACACACAGAGAAGGAATTTGCCAGATAATCTCTGTAACATAATTACAAGTTATTTTCCATTGTTAGTTGGGAGCCGTGGGCTTCTTTGTGCCACGTCTGAAAACACTTCTGAAGTTTTCTTGTTTGTTCTAGTTCCTTATTGACAAGGCAAGGTCATGTTCACTCCCCACCCGCTTTGTACATAGGGCACTTCAGGCACAGTGAGGGAGCTTAAAGGAGAAGGCAGCGGTGTTTCAGCTCCCACGTTCAACGGCTTTGCACAGGGTGCCAGCCAGTGTTCCCTCTAAGCCGAGTTAGTGTGAGCTGGCTCACTGTTTTTTAGCCTCCGGCTCACACATTTTTGTTTTAGCTCAGGAAGGATGGCTCCAGAGCAATCGCTCGCTCACAACTTTAATGCCAGTCGCTCACCAAGTAAAATTCTTGCTCCTAAGACTTCACAGCTTGGAGGGAACATTGGTGCCAGCTCTGAGGCATGGGGGGGGGCTATGCCTTGTTTGGTGTTGCCTTGTTTGGTTAAGTGCACGGACTCTAATCTGGGAGAACCGGGTTTGATTCCCCACTCCTCCACTTGTACCTGCTGGATGACCTTGGGCAAGTCGTAGTTCTGTCAGAGGTGTTCTTGAAAAAGAGCAGTTTCCCTCAGAGCTCTCTCAGCCCCGCCTACCTCACAGGGTGTCTGTTGTGGGGAGGGGGAGAGAAAGGAGTTTGTAAGCCGCTCTGAGACTCCTTTGGGTAGAGAAGGGCGGGGTATAGATCCAATCTCTTCTTCTTAATCTGGAAGAGACTAGATGGTCCAAGAGAGGAGAACTCTCTTGCGACACTTTCATTGGGCTTCTGTGCTAAGTGAAAATTGAGGCTGCCCCTTTGAGAAACTCCATTCTCATCATATTTATATTTTTTTTAAAGCAACGCTCTTGTCCTTTAAGAAGCAACGCAATCTGCATGGTGAAATCTCAGAAACCAGGATGGATGAACAGGAGGAAATACTTCTTTCCACAGAGAGTGATTAAAATGTTGAATTTGCTGCCAGAGGATGTAGTGATGGCCACAGGAATAAGCAGCTTTAAAAGGGGATTAGATAGATACATGGAGGATAAGTCCATCAATGGCTACTAGCTATGGAAATGGAGGAGAACCTCCACTTTCAGAGGCAGTAAACTATGAATAACGGTGCCAAGAGGCGACCTCAGGGGAAGGCCTCGGCCTCTACGTCCTGTTGTTGGCCCTCCAGAGGAACTGGTTGGCCACTGTGCGAGACAGGATGCTGGACTAGATGGACTATGGGTCTGATCCAGCAGGGCTGTTCTTATGTTCTTATGGCAAAACAGAATTTCCAGTATGAGTAACCCCCCCCCCCCCCAGAACCCCACTCCATTTAGGCAGGCAAGCAGGAAGTAATCCAGGAGGCACCTAATATGTCTAGCCAATTTGCCAGTTCTACACACTGGGTGACTTTAAAGCAGTCATGTATTCCGTGCTTATGCCCAGGCAGGAACGCACAGGAACGGAGTTCCGGCTGGCTCCTGAGTTGGCCACGC